TTTATTCCAATAATTTGGGCCCATGCATGTTCCACTCCATAACATTAAAAACCTAAAAATTAGAAGTTAAAAAAATAAAAAAAAATACTTAGAAATCAACTTATATTTATCGTCACACATTCTCTCTCTCTTGTAAGAAAAAGTAAAAAATAGAAACAAAAGTTGAAATTAAATCCTCTCTCTCTCCCTAGTAAAAAACAAAAATAAAAGTTGAAACATTTTTCTCAACAAACACTAGCGCATTCATTTTTTGTCTTTCTTTGACATAAAAATTAAAAATTAATTAATTTTTTTTAAATTTAATAGTAAAAATAAAAAATCTAATTTAGTATTTGCACTTTAGACTTCAAATTGCTTTAAGCCGCACTTGACCCTCCAATACTTAAGTTAGTACAAGAAGTGNATTTAGTATTTGCACTTTAGACTTCAAATTGCTTTAAGCCGCACTTGACCCTCCAATACTTAAGTTAGTACAAGAAGTGAGACTGTGCAGCATAGAACTACATATGGAGGAGGAAGTGTACAAGAGATGTACCTTGGTCTGAGAGAGTCTTTGGTATTTTTGCAGGTACCTTTGGCAATTGTAATTAAAAAATTCTTTCCAAATTCTCATTTTCCATACTCATTTTATCCTACGTTTTTTAATCATTCTCTCAAAGATGGCAAATCAACACCTTTTAGGAAATTGTCTCCCATTTAGCCTTAAGATGTTTTTTTTACAGGTAATGTTTTATGTCCGCAAATTAGAAGTCTCCTTAGCTTCTGTTAATTTGACTAAATGATTTCCCCGCATGATGTTTTTATGTCACTACTGAATATTAGAAAGTCTCCGTGTTGTTAAAAGATGGTTGCTCATGTAATAAAACACAAACTCAGAGCAAGTCTCTGTCATTGCTAAAATATGAGGGGTACTTTCCGTAAATCAGCGGACACTAGCACACTGAAACACAAACAGTTGCTTCCACTTTCTTAACATGTGTGTGTGTGAGAGAGAAAGAACACAAGATTCTCCATTGTATTATAAACATATTACAATTCTAGCCCTTGGCTTTGTCCATAAATAATGCCTCAAAAACAATATTGATCCTAAAAAAAAGGGTTGACGCATTGTACAAGACCTTATCACCCGCATGTGGAGAGATTATTTCCTTGACTCAAATCTTAAACACCCCATCTATGGAGTAACTTTATTGCTACATCAACGCTCACACTCTTGAAAATAAAATTTGAACCTCTATCGGTCAAATTTTCCCATCCAAGTAGAAAGGGAACAAGCCATGCGAATAAATGGTTTATCCCAACATTTTTCTCTTTCTAGTGAACCGTAAGTCGTCTGTTTTATTATTATTATTATTATGTTGATGACTTTATAAGTTATTATTGTTTAACAAAACTAGAAAATATTTCAAAGCGTGATTATAGTCCTTAGAAAATACGCATGTAAATTAGATTGAAAGATGCATGCACTTGATCCTGGACCAGGAAACTACTCCAACCACCTATCTGCCTTTGACTTGGGACCAGGAAAAGTAGTCGTAGTAGTTATATAACTCTTAAAAGTGATGCTAACCAAGAAGAAATTGTGTTCTTAAATGGGTGCTGTTGTGATCAAATTCGGATCAAATTTTAGCACTATATTGAAAAATAGAGTGATACCCTATTATCCCGGAGCTAAACACGCTGTTAGGATAGATTGTAATCTAGTCAACCGTAACAAAAAATAATGAAAAGACAGATATGAATGAAGAAGTCAATGGCAAAATAGTCTATTTTTATTTTTCATTTATCATCTTTCTAAGAATTATACAAGATTAAAAAAATGAACTTCTAATTAGTACAGTGACCCATTCACCGCCTATAACTTGGCCAAAGCTGACTCGGTCGGGGCCAAACCCGCATCCACAAAGGCTGCGACATGATTATGTGCCTTTGTTTAAAAACTTGACTAGTAAATCAAAACCATTGCAAAATTATTTCTTTTTCAATTGATATGTTGTACTCAAGCCATGCTTTCTTTCATCAGAAAATTGTTTTTAATTCGCTTTCACAATTAAGATCACGTATATATGTTGACTATCGCGAAGGCAGTTGCTGATTAAAAACAATTGTCACCATGATTTCCCATTGTTAGCACCTACTGGCTTGCCTCAGTAGCTACATTACTTACATAGTTAAGACGTGTACGAATACATTATAATATTGAATAGTGATGCTCATGATAGAATATCAACAAAAATTATACCAAAATTTAAATATGATGATGCACAAAATAAGATTATGTACAATTAACAGTCGAGTGTATGATTTAGGATAATGAATGAAGCAATCAATAAAGCAATTAATGAAAAAGACAAATATTAGATTAACACAAGTAACACACAGATATATAATGATTTGGTCAGAATAACCTACTCCACTTTGAAGACGGCAACGGTGGCCGGTGGTCTTTATTAATGAAGTAGTAAATGAGAGAGAGAGAGAGAGAAAATGTATGCTCTTGTTAGGTATGAGAGAGATAGTTATGTAAGGTATGTGGAGATATCCCCTCTCATATGGAGAGGACTTACAATTTATAGGCACAGAGCCTTGATTAAGGCAGTGACGTGATCTATAGGTTACTAGTGTTTTGGGGAGGATAGCTATAACTAGAATATGTACAATTAGAAATAGTCTTCATCTAGGAGAGTGGTTATCCCGATGGTTGTTCTCCACATACGCTGATTTCTTGGATCTCTCAAATTTTGGATTGGGTCGGATATATGTGTTGGGCTTCACCTGCCTTTTACCTGACTTGAGTTTATTTCATCAATTGGGCTTGACTCAGTTGGATCTAGACTCATCAATATATTTATGGGAAATTTAGAAGTCAATCCTTCTATACGGACTTGATTGGACTTAAGTCCGCCAAAGAAACTTATTTATTATGAAGTCTGTTTTTTATCAATTTTATCAGACTATCTCTTCCCTTTAGAAGTGAAGTAAAACTAAAAAATTAAAAACTCCTAAATTTTAAGAGTTTGACTAACATTAAAATTTTTTATCTCTCATATATATATATATATATATTAAAAATAAAAAATAGCAACATTCAAATACAAAAAAGTATCATTTAAATACAAAAATTAATATCATTTAAACACAAAAAAATAATATCAATAAAAAATAAAAAATAGTAATATTATATATTAATATTTGAAAAAATAATAAAAACATACTCAATAAAAAATAGTGACATTTAATATTGATATTTTAGAAAAATAGTAATATTTAATATTAACATTAAAAACAAAAAATAGTAACATTCAAACACAAAAATAGTACAATTTAAACACAAAAAATAGTATCATTTAAACACAAAAACATAGTAACATTCAAAAAATAAAAAATAGTAACATTGTATATTAATATTTGAAAAAAACCAATAGTAACATTGAATATTGATATTTTCAAAAAAATATTAACATTCAATATNGATAATGAATGAAGCAATCAATAAAGCAATTAATGAAAAAGACAAATATTAGATTAACACAAGTAACACACAGATATATAATGATTTGGTCAGAATAACCTACTCCACTTTGAAGACGGCAACGGTGGCCGGTGGTCTTTATTAATGAAGTAGTAAATGAGTGAGAGAGAGAGAGAAAATGTATGCTCTTGTTAGGTATGAGAGAGATAGTTGTGTAAGGTATGTGGAGATATCCCCTCTCATATGGAGAGGACTTACAATTTATAGGCACAGAGCCTTGATTAAGGCAGTGACGTGATCTATAGGTTACTAGTGTTTTGGGGAGGATAGCTATAACTAGAATATGTACAATTAGAAATAGTCTTCATCTAGGAGAGTGGTTATCCCGATGGTTGTTCTCCACATACGCTGATTTCTTGGATCTCTCAAATTTTGGATTGGGTCGGATATATGTGTTGGGCTTCACCTGCCTTTTACCTGACTTGAGTTTATTTCATCAATTGGGCTTGACTCAGTTGGATCTAGACTCATCAATATATTTATGGGAAATTTAGAAGTCAATCCTTCTATACGGACTTGATTGGACTTAAGTCCGCCAAAGAAACTTATTTATTATGAAGTCTGTTTTTTATCAATTTTATCAGACTATCTCTTCCCTTTAGAAGTGAAGTAAAACTAAAAAATTAAAAACTCCTAAATTTTAAGAGTTTGACTAACATTAAAATTTTTTATCTCTCATATATATATATATATATATTAAAAATAAAAAATAGCAACATTCAAATACAAAAAAGTATCATTTAAATACAAAAATTAATATCATTTAAACACAAAAAAATAATATCAATAAAAAATAAAAAATAGTAATATTGTATATTAATATTTGAAAAAATAATAAAAAACATACTCAATAAAAAATAGTGACATTTAATATTGATATTTTAGAAAAATAGTAATATTTAATATTAACATTAAAAACAAAAAATAGTAACATTCAAACACAAAAATAGTACAATTTAAACATAAAAAATAGTGTCATTTAAACACAAAAACATAGTAACATTCAAAAAATAAAAAATAGTAACATTGTATATTAATATTTGAAAAAAAACAATAGTAACATTGAATATTGATATTTTCAAACAAATATTAACATTCAATATTAACAGTAACATGCTTATAAAAAAATAGTCACATGTTTAATAAAAATAGTAACATTAAAAAAGGTAGTAACATGAACAAGTCCAACATAACAGAAATAGTAACATGGAAAAAAAAATTGTATTTGTATATTGTCGTCATCTTCACAAAAATACACAACTAACTAAATCGAGATCTAAATCGAAATCTCGCCGATCATCCAAAAAAGTAATAACATGCGCAAAAAAATAGTAACATGCACAAAAAAAGGTAGTACCATGGTATTTCAAGAATTGAAAAGATAGTAACATGCATCAAGACATTTTGTCGAACACCTTTGGAGCATTGTGGAGATGTTGATCTCAAATGGTAGTGTAGGAACCTGCTCCTAAACCAGCTCTTTGAGTTCATCCAAGGCCTTCTTTTCTGGGTCAGGAAGTTCACCCACTACGTTGCTGTCTGTTTTGAACGAAGTCGATTCGGTGATCTTCTCTTTTTCTTTGTCCTTCTCGACTTCGACTACTTCTTCCACGGTGGCGGGTTTCTCCGGCTTTGGCTCAAGATTTGGTGGTGCTTCTTTCTCCGTGGTGGTGGTAGAGGGTTTCTCCACCTCCGGTACATTGAAAATAACCATCACTTCCTCAATTTTTGTTGGTGCTTCATGGACAAATTTTTGAGTTTTTTCGATCATGGTGGTGGACTTTGATTTTCAATTTGATCAATGTGTGACATACTAATAATGAATAAGAATTTGAATTTCAAATATTATGGAAAGATTGTAACAGAGAATTACAAGCGTAAAATCAGGCAAGCATATCTTCCTTCCATATATATCTCAATGAACAAAATTAACATCGTTAAAGGTATTTTTGAGATTAAAAAAAAAAGGACTTAAGTACCTACATATAAGTTTAAAAACGGACTTACTTCCAAATAAATTTTTTTGCCGGACTCAAGTCATTATAAGTTCATCTTGAAGGACTCAGCCCCAATTTTTACTATATTTAAATACTAGTCATAACTCATGCCTGAAGACACGATAAAATATAAAATTCAAGTGTCTAAAACATCGATCACACTATATTAAATTTTTTCAAAATATATTAACTACAAATTAATCAAATATTAAATAATTAAATATATGATAGAAATGAGTGATGTGATATTTTTAAGGAGAAAATATATAAATGATTAAACATGTGATAGAAATAAGTGAAGTGATTTGACGTTTGAGTCTGAAAAATGGATGATGGGTGAGATAAATGATTGGTGATGATTTTGAGAACAAAAATATGATTGAAATAAAATTCAAACATACTATTATTTTATTATATAGATATATAAGATCTCTTTTTTTTTGGGAGGGGGAGTGGGGAGTTTGGGGTTTGTTTAGTAGTATTTATCTACTTCATTAAAGGACAAAATTTTGAAATATTTATCTACTTCACCCAAAATTTGATATTTATCTACTTCATTAGAGCACAAATTAGGGTCATATTTTTTGGCATTACAAGGGTTATGGATGGTTAAATTGAGAAGAAAATATAAGTATTACAAGTACTTCATATGTGAAAAAAAAAATGATACATAACTCTAAAGATAGCTCAAGTTGTAATATGAACAAATTATAAACACAGACATCTTGAATTCGAAACTTGGAAACTTCTTACGGTCATGTCATGAAAGATTAATCCCTCATGAATAACTTAGTCTTAGTGTAAAAGGGATTAATCAAGGTATACATAAGCTAGTCCAAACACGTTTGACTGTAAAATTAAAAAAAA